ACAAATCAACCTATCGATGACCTAGCAATACAACTGTAGCAACACCTTAGAAACCATCTTGATTACTCAAGCAACTACCAGGCAACATGCTAACAACCAGTCAGAATACCATGGCAGCTGCATAGCAATGTTGTGACAAACATTTTCTGTTATATCCCTATATTTAAGATAATGAACTACATTATTTTCTGGAATAGTTGTTTATTTCCATAATAATTAATAATATATGCAACTGTTGATGCAATAATTGTGTATTTTTCATATTATTCCACATAATCGATTAGCCACTCATGTCTGCAAGTTACAGTGATTTTACTGTGGTTTGCATGCATAGGAACACCCCTAACCCTTACCTGTGGTAAAATTACTGTAATGCATGGCCTTATGTGGCTTGTTGCAATTAATTATGTGTATGTGTGTGTGTGTGTGTGTGTGTGTGTGTTGGTCTCTCTCAGGCTCTACAGAAAGACCTGCAGGCTAATGCCAGTGCTCTCAATGAAGTCATCAGTAGCACAAAGAAGTTTCTGGAGGAGAATCGTAGCAAACTCACTCCAGAGCAAATATCGGCTCTTGAAAACAAACTGGAGGAATTGAAGAGCAAAGTGAACATGCTTAACCAGAGGGCAGAAGAGTCAAGGAAAGATCTAGAGAAGGTTTTGACCAGTGCTATCAAGCAGGAGACTGAGACGGTTAGAGGGGAAAAACACTTTCCCAAACACTATTCAACCAAAAGATTTCAACAGATTGAATTTAGTCACTTTCTCTATTGCATTTTGTTTGTGATGGCTCTCAAATGTATCTTTGGATTTTCTGTGATTTTCAGTAAACCAAAGCTATTTTATGTGCAACAATACAGGTAGCAGCTGTTGAACAACTTGAAGAGAGCAAAACTAAGATCGATGGTCTTCTAGACTGGATCTCTAACGTTGGGAAAGAGAAAGAAATGGGTGGAATACAAAAGGACCAGATGGTTAAACAGAATGGAAACATGCCTGAGAACACATCAGTGAAGAGAATAATTGGAGAGGAAGATGATCCTAATGGAAATGCATTAGATACTACAGACAACACAAGTCTGCGTACTGGCGAAAAACAAGACGGTATAAACCTGGACCTGGACCAGCAGTTTAACAGGGTTCAAGTAAGTACTTGAGTATATACATTGGTGCTTGAAAGTTTGTGAACCCTTTTGAATTTTCTATATTTCTGCATAAATATGACCCAAAACATTGATTCAGGTATTTCCACAACATTTTAATTGGGTTAAGGTCTGGACTTTGACTTGGACATTCCAAAACATTAACTTTATCCATGCTTTGTTAGAACGACTTGTGTTCTTAGGGTTATTGTCTTGCTGCATGACCCACTTTCTCTTGAGATTCAGTTCATGGACAGATGTCCTGACATTTTCCTTCCGAATTTGCTGGTATAATCCAGAATTTATTCTTCCATCAATGATGGCAAGCCGTCCTGGCCCAGATGCAGCAAACAGGCCCGAATCATGATACTGCCACCATTATGTTTCACAGATGGGATAAGGTTCTTATGCTGGAATGCAGTGTTTTCCTTTCTTCAATCATAACTCTTCTCATTTAAACCAAAATTTTCTATTTTTGTCTCATCCAACCACAAAACATTTCTCAGATATCTCTCTGGCTTGTCTACATGATCTTTAGCAAACTGCAGATGGGCAGCAATGTTCTTTTTGGACAGCAGTGACTTTCCCCTTGCAACTCTACCATGCACACCATGGTTGTTCAGTGTTCTCCCTGATGGTGGACTCATGAACATGAACATTAGCCAACGTGAGAAAGGCCTTTATTTGCTTAGAAGTTCCCCTGGGTTCCTTTGCAACCTGGCAGACTATTACACTTCTTACGTAAAATGGCATAAGACAACGATGTCATGTAATTTTCTGCATTAGGCGGGAATGAAGTTAATTTGGCCATCTTCTTGCGTCGCTTCTTTCTTTTGGAGTGAGATTTCTTCCAATATTTTGGTCTCATTTGTTTGATTGGGTTCTCTTTGTCTACGTTCAGGACTTGTGTGAAAATATGATTGGGTCAGTTTTTAGGGGTCATACTTATGCAGAAATATAGAAAATTTTAAACTTGCAAGCACCTCAGTAGCTGTAAATATCATGATTGTCATCACACTATTAGTTCAGTCAGAACCACTCTGTTTGATTAAGATTATTTTAGAGGTCCTGAACATTATTTTGGCAGCAGGCTTCACTCTGAAGGGTTCAGATTCTGATCTGTCCACGAGCAAACCTCACTGAGGTTTGAAATCCCGGAAGCCTAATGCAATTACCAGAATTTTTAATATGCAACAGATATAAAATTCCATGCAAAAGTGATACAGGTTCGTAAATGAGAATGGACAAGATTAAGCAACGATTAGCTGATTTCCGTGGACAAGACATCTTGCTAAGGCTGGCCGCACACTAGACGATTTTCAAATCTTAAACGATTTTAAAACCATGGGAGACCACAGACATGAAGACAGTTCAACCGATTTTTAGCCTTATAATCCTCTGAATGCACACACTAGATGATTCGACCAGACCACGAGACCACACACTTGTTGATTGTAGGAACGATTTCACAGTGACACGTGCTCTCACAGACACTCGCGAGATCAAACGTGGCTTGAGAAGAAAAACAAATGGATAGTGTGCCTGTATAAGGAGGAGCTGGGGATGGAGGAGGGTAAGCGCATGTCTGTGACAGACTAAGGCAAGTGTGAGTACGGATGAATTTATATATCATATTTAATTGTAGTGGGAGGAGTTACAATCAGCTGAGCATCAGCTGATGCTGGCTGTCATGCCGTGGTCTGCCTGAATTACGCTTGAGCTCCATTCGTCACTCAAACTACATTTCAGTCAGGACCACTCTGTTTGATTAAGATTATTGTAGAGGTCTCTCGATCGGGAGCAGATAAATAATCGTAATGACACCACACAATATAGGATTTTTTTGGACAAAAAAATCGTTTGCGACAATGAGGCCATCCCCGATCGTTCGGGGATGCAAATCGGGCTTAAAATGGGCCTTAAAATCGTCTAGTGTGCCTGTATAAGGAGGAGCTGGGGATGGAGGAGGGTAAGCGCATGTCTGTGACAGACTAAGGCAAGTGTGAGTACGGATGAATTTATATATCATATTTAATTGTAGTGGGAGGAGTTACAATCAGCTGAGCATCAGCTGATGCTGGCTGTCATGCCGTGGTCTGCCTGAATTACGCTTGAGCTCCATTCGTCACTCAAACTACATTTCAGTCAGGACCACTCTGTTTGATTAAGATTATTGTAGAGGTCCTGAACATTATTTTGGCGACAGGCTTTACTCTCAAGAGTTCAGATTCTGAGCTGTCCACAAGCAAACCTCACTGAGGTGTGAAACCCCGAAGGCTAATGCAATTACCAGATATAAAATTCCATCCAGAATTGATACAAGTCTGTAAATGAGACTGGACAAGATTAAATGATTAGCTGATAGATGATTTCCATAGACAAGACGCTAAGTGATCATGCGCCTGTAGAGTAAGTGCATGTCTGTGCGACAGACCAAGGCAAGTGTGAGTTTGGATGACTTTATATATCTTATTTAATTGTAGTGGGAGGAGTTACAATCAACTGAGTATCAGCTGATGCTGGATGTCATGCCGTGGTCTGCCTGAACTACGTTTGAGCACCATTCGTCACTTAAACTACATTCTCTTCAAAAAGACCACACAGCTATTTTAGCTAACATGATAGAGAACATGTGGACACTTTAAACATTTATGAGCAGTTATTTTTCATGTTTAGTTTGTATTAAAAATTAGTAATTCCATGAATATCATAAAGTACTCCAATTGTAACACCAGTTGTATCTTTTGTAAAAAAAAAAAAAAAAAAAAAAAATTATGACATAAATGTTTAAAAAATAATCAAGATAATGAATAAACAGTGATATAGGTTTAGGGTTAATCTGGCATTTTTTGTTATATATATATATATATATTTATTTACTTACGTACTTACTTACTTACCCTAGTTCTAAAATAACTAATTACTGTTTGATACTGTTAAATAACTAACTACTAAACTACTGAAATGGCAATTATTTACTAAATTAAATTGCTCAGACATGATTTGCAACACTTTAACGCTTTTTATTTTACACTTTTTACACTTGTCTGTGACAGTTTTGTACAGTGGAAGGCTTCATAACTGCTCTAATGGATGAATATCCCACAGTCCTGAGGAAGAGAAAGAAACTGTTCATCCTCATTGTCTGTATTATATCCTTTGTCATTGGTTTCTCCAACATCACCCAGGTAAAGATTACCACCTGAAGACCTTTCTGTTTTATTGTGTAGGACGATTGACTATTTTCTTGAGTTTCTAATAGTAATGTGTGTGTTCTTTGTTTTAGGGCGGCTTATATGTGTTTAAATTGTTTGACTACTATTCGGCCAGTGGAATGTGTCTCCTGTTCCTGGTCTTCTTTGAGACAATCTCCATTTCCTGGTTCTATGGTATATCTCCTATACTAT